GAAGTAATAGCCTATGCGGAACCCCGACAGGTTAAAGCGTCCGCTATCTGGGTTCCAAGACCGTTTCAGTTCCCGATTTACCGGTATAGACCAGTCCGCCTCTTCCTCTTCGTTGGTCTTGACAATAACACCGGCCAAAAACCAAAGCCCGCCCGCACTGATAGAAGCTCCCGGTTTCTGAGGATCCACTTTGAGCCAGTCGGAGTCGCCTACTAGGACGAAATGTTGGTCGCGAATGCGAGTATCTTGGTCTGCAGTATCGGTATCATCGATGTCTTCGGAAAAAACGATCCGCGGCACCTCTACCGGGCGCGTCGCCCCTACCGCAAAAAGGAAATCACCGGACTGTTCGGTATTACGGTATCGATCGTCGGTGCCGCGCCGGTAGAGAAAATCTTCCTGGATTAGGTCTTGCGAACGCTCTGGCGAGATTTTGCGATACGTACCAATGGGGTAGCTTAGAATAGGGGTCACCCCCACCCGTTCGGGAGGGCTCTGGGCGGATACTATCGTCGTGCCAAAAGACCCCATAGTAAAGCGTACATTATTTTTCTCGGCATGATAATCGAGTCCGCGCGTGTAATGACTTCGGAGCGACTCCAGAGATATATACGGATCGATGCGGGTATGAGCACACTCTCCAGAGCATGTGGCAGCGATGTCTCGCGTTGGACGAATACCCCATAGTCCGAATAGCCAGTCATACAAATTGGACGCCGGCACCACCCGCTTTTTGCGCTCGTGCTTTCCATCCAGTCCCGGTTCGTCGATCTCCTCAAACGGAGCATCGGTGGTGACGATCAAGTTCCCCCCGCGCTCGTGGTACGATGCCAGGGCTGCTATGCTGCCTTGCGTCCATGACCGACGGGGATGTGGTAGGATCAGAGTTTGGCAAACTGCGGGAACGGTTGGAAGAGTACTGGTTCCGGTAACCGTGTCGAAGGATACCGGTAACACTTGATAGTCTGACCGGGACAACCAATTACGCAAGTAGGTTAACTCATATTCGTAGTCCATCATGCCGAGACCGTGCCCGATACATATCGGAGATTCGGTTTTGCCCAGCAGAGAGCGGATACTCTTGGTGATCTGTTCTTCAATGCGGTAACCGGTTACCACATCTTTGGGACCCAGCCCGGACTGAACCGTGTTGCCTTCGGTCATCTGGGCGGTAGACAGGAGGCGGCTGGGACTCTGGGAAACCAGGCGGCGTACTCGGGACTGATGGTCAGAATACTTCTCCGGGTCGAGCAGCTGAGCTATGGTAAGCTGTGATGCGCGGAGCTTTTGGCGATCAATCAAGTATAGTTTAACGCGACCAATATCCTGGCTTTCCAAATTGTATGCATCAGCTTCTGAAACTTGGATGCGGATGTTCACGTGTCGTACTACAAAACGGGGCGTGCTTTTTTGGTAGCTATTCAAATACCCGCGGATGTGCCGATTGGTGGTTTTATTTTGATCGCCCCGGACGGTGGTATGGCGAGCATCCTGGCTGTCGGCTAGAACGGCCAGTACGTAGTGGTCCGAATTCTCGAGCCGCCCCAACCAGTTGCCGCTTCGCTCCGATAGCACATACATGTCATTTGAAGACAGCTCCCACGGATGGTTTTGTAGCCGATCACTGATAACGTAGGCCAGAGTACCCACTACCAGAATCAAGCACCAGGTTATCCAATACAACAGAGTGGTTACGAGTGCTCGATCACGATAAAATAGCCCGTACCCTTTTTCTAAACGTCCCTTCTGAAAGCGCCATATCGCAAAGCCCCCACTCAGTATGGGCAAAGACCACCAAATCACGGTAAAGTCAAACCACGTAGGACTCACATTGGGTTGCATCTGGCGTAATGATTCCGTGGAGCTGTACGAACCAAGCCATATACTCATGCCCAGCAGCCAGGTAGACATAATGGCAATACCAATGTTACGCTGGACACTAGCGCGTCCGTATATCCCGAGAAATACGTCCGTGCCCACACATAGCACCAGTATCAAGCCGATCAGATACGCGTACGAGATAACAACGTGAGTTTCCAGCTCCCACGGGATCATAACACCGCCGTCGGTCACCAGCGGATCCCCATGTGGGTATAATTGTATCAGGGGAGCCGAGCCAACTGCCGAATAAGGGTTCGGCGTGTCAGCAAAGAGAAACGCCCCGCACGCTACGAGCCACAGACCCCAAAACGTAATGCCCAGTGCCAAGTGAAACGACTGTCCGAGTAAATCGGCGAACCGGTGAATGCTCAAAATCACGGACGCTAAAAGAAAAATTACCGCTAAAACAATGGGTATGTAGGTTTCTTCGCCCAGAAATGCTGGCAAAAAAGCATTCATAGATAGGGAAAATACGAGTAGCAGTACCCCGAGTAACCCTATCCCTTTTGATACCGTAGACCGTAGTGCCAAATGGCTAGACACGTGATGTCTCCTATCGGGGATATCGCAGTTCCCAAAATGCAGAAACCCACTCTGCGTTGCCACAATGCCCTAGGGGGAGTCCCCATGTAATGAATGCTGACCCTAACGATTATGTCTCGATTTTTCCAGAACCTGTTTTAATTCAAGGGCGTTTTCTCGTCGCGAGAACTGGGGCGTTTCCAGACTCTTCTCGATAGCATCTATCCCTTTTGCAATGTCGTTTTGCCGCACGTGTACAATGCCAATTTTATACCACAAGAGTGCCGCGCGGGCGGGTAGGCACGCATTCTGCTCGCACTGGCGACGAGCGCTCTCATAGCGAGCGTGGGCATTGGCCAACGTCGTGGAATCGGGGGTTTGGCCGTGCTGCATGTAGATATCGGCAATGCGTTCGGCGACAAATCCCTGGTAATCGCGGGCTGCCGGGAGACGTTCCAACTCGGGGAGCGCATCTTGCGGTGCCCCCCGGACCAGAAAAATATCCGATTGGAGGAGTAACGCCCGGGGATACAGAGGGCTACTCGTTGGGATTTTTTGGATATGATGCTGCGCTTGTGTCGAGTCTTTTTGAGCGTGGTAGAGCACCGCTAACTGCAAGTGCGTTTCAACATGCCCATCGTCGACTGCGAGCCCTTGAGACAAAGATTCTATCGCATTTGGGTAGTCTTGTACCAAGTACTGAGCCCGCCCCAGGTTATACCAGATGCGCACGTCCTTCTTTTTCGGAGCAATAGGAGTCAGGTACGTGATGCTCGTTTTCAGATCTTTCTGAGAAACCGACGGAGAGCTCGCTAGCGTGAGAGCGCTCTCCGCAAAAATGATGCGCAGACGCTCGTGTTGCGGATCAATCTTTAAACCACGGCGTACATATTCGATAGACGCATGGGTTTGTCCGGACTCGAGCCCAATTTCGCCAAGTTGAACGTACGGGCGTATGTAAACCCCGGACAAATTATGTTGCGGGTCCTGATCGACTTCAATGCATGTGCGGAAATAGTGTACGGATACTGGAAAAAGCGGATGGTTGCGAAACGATTCATGGTCCTGGGCCTCTGATACGATAACCCGCTTGCTAACAATGCCGGCGTTGTACAGAGCCCGCCGAAGGGCGCGGCTGCGATCCTCGTCGCTGAGGGTGTTGTCAACCGAGCTCCGCACGTAGGCATTCATCTGAGTCAGAGCGTCGGTAATATTCTTGTAATCACCTAGCACTGCATTTAGGTCCGCCTCCAATTTCGAAGGTACGGTCCCATCCGCTTGCGGGGACGTGCGTTCGTCAGACGATCGGGGTGGGGCGTGGTAGGCGTCTGTGGAAGGAAGTGGGTCGGTCCATGGTCCGTCGCCTATACTATCCATGTCCTCGCGGTTGCTTTCCACAAGGTCCGAGTCATGACCACCAAGTGGCGTTTTATATCCAGAGTCTACAGCACCACCAATAGACACATCTCCGGTATTCTGTCCCGGTCTTTTGGTCTCCCCATCACGAACAGACGGAGTATTGGAATCTTGGTTGAGGTGGTGATCGGATGTTCCACCCTGGGCGTTCCCATCGGGATCGGATGTTCCACCCTGGGCGTTCCCATCGGGAAGGGATGTTCCACCCTGGGCGTTCCCATCGGGATCGGATGTTCCACCCTGGGCGTTCCCACCGGAAAGAGATGTTCCACCCTGGGCGTTCCCACCGGAAAGGGATGTTCCACCCTGGGCGTTTCCACCGGGAAGGGATGTTCCACCCTGGGCGTTCCCATCGGGATCGGATGTTCCACCCTGGGCGTTCCCACCGGGATCGGATGTTCCACCCTGGGCGTTCCCACCGGAAAGAGATGTTCCACCCTGGGCGTTTCCACCGGGAAGGGATGCTCCATCCTCGATTGCAAGGTGAGGGAGGGTCCCGTCTTTTTGGTTCGGATGCTCCATCATGGTGCCGGTATCGCTATCATAGATGCCCGGTCCGTGAAACAAAACCGGTTCTGACGAGCCGATATTCCGCATCGGACCTGAAGCGGCCTCTTTTGCCAGTTGGAGCCTTGCTGATGTGACTTTCCCCGAAGAAGGGGGCTTCGCATCGCTTTCTTGGCTCGGGACGCCCACGGTCCCGCCTCCTGCGGAACGAGAAGAGCCCGACGGTGCGGTCTCTTCGGAACCGTCAGCTTCGGGCGGTTTGTCTTCTCCCTCGGCGCGGACCGTGAAAAAAACAGAGCCTCCGAGCACTAGTAGTGCGATAAAAAATACACTATATCCCTTGCTATTACGCATCATATCGTACACCTCCATGCCGCCGCAAATCTAATAACAAGCACCAGGGCGCGGTCTTGCCAGACGGGCATAAGAGGCGGTTCGAGAATCCGACCTAAAGCCCGCCCCCTCTAAGTCGGCAGTACCCCCCCTAAAACCCTCAAAGAGGGGCGCGCGCATGCGTGACAAAGCCGTCTGCATTTTGGGCTATCAACCTATATCAAAACCATAAAATCTATTCTATGCCCGCACGGCAGTGCCTCCGAGAGGGGAGTCGACTGGGGAGACGCGGGCTTAGGGCGGCGTCTCCCCTCAGAAAAAGAAATTAATGAACACAGACCCTAATACACATCACGTTGGTATTGTTTGTTTTTACGCATAGCGCGGACGTATTCACGGGCCGCATCGGTTTTTTTGTTGCCGTGCTTCTCCACGATATTTACGAGCGTGTTATCTACATCGCGGGCCATATGAGCCGCATCTCCACAAACGTAAAAATGGGCCCCTTTGTCAATCCATTTCCAAATAGTATTCCCGTGTTTTTCTATAAGATGCTGTACATACTGTTTTTCGTTTTGATCGCGTGAAAACGCAAGGTCGAGGTGGGTTAGTATCCCCCATCGTGTCATGCTGGCGAGCTCGTCTTCATACAGATATTCGTATTGTCGTCGCCGCTCACCAAAGAAGAGCCAGTTACGTCCGGTGGCACCAGTATGAAGTCGTTCTTGGAGGAAACCTCGAAATGGGGCAATGCCGGTTCCCGGTCCCACCATAATCGTGTCGGTTGATGGATCGGACGGCAACCGGAAATTAGATGCTTTGACGTACACCGGGAGGATCGGTTGGTTTAAAGGCAGTCGGTCGGCAAGGTACGTAGACGCAACTCCTCCCCGCATGCGGTTTCGGATATGACTGCGTACCGTGGCTACGGTAAGGTGTACCTCTGCTGGGTAGACGGACGGTGACGAGGCCATGGAGTATAGTCGGGGGAGAAGAGTCCGCATCGTTTGGGTAACTTCTTCGGCAAACCAGGATATGCGGGGATACTGGGAGAGTATATCTACGTAATCACGCTCGACAACGTATGTCCTACGAATCTTGGGGTCGGTCATGATCGCCTCGAGTTGAGAGCGGTCGGAAGAATTTTCGGGAAGCTTTTCCTGGACCGCCTGAAGAAACCTCACCGAGACCGGATGGAGAGCATAGTGCTGAGTCAAAGCCTGGTGTAGAGGGACCAATTCTCCGGAGCGCGGTAATGGCACTAAGGCATCGGGATCTCGTACTCGGTCCATAATCCGATGGACCAAATCACTAGGATGATGCGGCAAAATACCGAGAGCATCTCCGCATTCGTATGTCATCCCGGAACCCGATATATCCACCACATGGTGGCGGGTTTCTTTATCGGATTCCATATGAGTGAGCCGACGATTCTCGGTCATGCGAGCCATGAATGGGCGATTCGATGAGTACGTCACGGTCTTTCTTGCCCTTCCTTTTTCCCTGATTGATAACACGCACTATATCAATCAGACGCTGTATGTCTTCGGACACCGGATAAGTGGGAGGTAAACGCTGGAACATAACGCGTTCGCAAGCGGTTAGTATAAACACGCCTTGGTCATAATCTTGCTTTGGAAGTAGCATATTCATTTTTCTGCGGAGCTTGGGAAGTGGGCAGTAACCCATATCTGGATCCCGGCTGGCGCCCATGAGAGCCTGTCTTAGCGCATCATTCAAGGTTTGATAGATACTCTGTAGCTCTGGGATAGCGTGGTGCGCCTTCCGTCCCTGCTGCCTGCACATGTGTATACGGGATGCCATACGCCGGGATAGTCCATAGCGAGCGGGTTCTGGTATCCCCATAGTCCACCGTAACCATGAGCCCAAGACGAAGATTATTATGCCCACCGCTATCCCGCCAATGATTCCCCAGACGATGAAGGTCGTCCCGGACCCTCCGCTAGCATGTGTTGATGGACTTCCGCCCTCTCCCCAAAGTATAGATGGCGGGCTATCGTCGCCTCCACCTTCGTCGAGCAAAGGTGTTATTGGAATGGGTGGGATGGATACAACGCGGCCTCCGATAGAAAGCTTGCTGGGCGCAAAGTATCCAGGTTCGGGACATAGCATCTGAAAAGCATAGGTTATCGTGATGACGCGCGCATCGTAATGGGTTGTAGTTGCTACCGAAACTGGGCGTACCCAAGAAAATCGAGACGGTGGTGTTTTGGAATGCCACCGCGATTCCCAAAAAGCGATCGTGCGTATTCGGGCTGTATCCTCTGGATGGATCATCCGGTCCGATGAGATGCGGACCTGTATGCGTTGGATGTCCCCAAACGATACGTAAGCATGGGGGACATGAATCATGACCCCAAGCCCATCGTCACTGTTTGCAGAAGGCCACAATACACCAGGCACCATTGCCGTTATCAAGACCCGCCAGCGGCACCATGGCTTAGGTCTCCACCGAGAAACAGTATAGAGTAGCGCGGGTACAAATAGGGTTTTAGGGCTTGGGCGCACCCTCCTCCCCTAAAAAGGAGCTTTTCCAAGGGTGCGGACCCCCACTCTAGGGTCTGTGTTCATTAAACCCAGAATATCCTTTTCTGGGGGCTCTGCCCCCGTACCCCCCCCCCGCTGGGTGAGGTCTTGCCGTACGGGCATAGACCCTAGGTATCGCAAGGAGGTCTGGGAATGGTTAGGTCATCCGGGAGCACCCAGATCACTGAGGTCTTTGGCCAAGAGCGAGGAAATCTCCGTGATAGCGGCATGTTCATCGTCACCCTCCGCCTCAATCGTTAGTACTTCTCCATGATGAACCGTGAGCGAAATAAGCCCCAGAATCGATTTGCAGTTGGTCTTGACACCGCCTTTGGAGACAAATATCGAAGAACGAAAACGAGAGGCCGCTTGCACAATAACCCCAGCGATCCTCATGTGTACGCCATGTTTGGTACCAACTTGAACTCGGTTACTCTTCATAATACAGATCCTGGTTCTTTTAACAGAGGGCTTTTCAACCAAGACCGTATTATAAAACCAAAGAAAATTTTGTTCAAACGTTAATGCCGATGTCTTGCCGTCTTCCGCGAGCACGGTATAGCCACCATAACGGCGCGAGTACGCCATACGCTAGAAATATAGCGTGCACGGTATAGGAGAAAAACACCATAATTCCCATGCCCACAACGCCAAGAGGGATCCACGCAACCCTTAAGGTGATACGACCCGGTTTGGGGTATGGAATGCGCAGCACCATCGCCGCCGCTAATATCAGTAATAATGCTAATACCCATACCGGATCGTAATGCCACCCACCCCACGGCTCTCCGCTCATGGAGATATCCCAGAAGCTAAGCGGAAGCCATGGGAGGGTAATCGTTGTCGTAATCACACCATTTGCTGCCGTAGTTGGCATCCCATAGAAAACCGTGCTGGTATCCGAGGTGTTGTATATCGCCAATCGTATGGCGGCAGCGGTTATAAAGGCGGCGGCGATAAAAAGCGTTGGAAGATGGATAATCCCAACGCGCGCACTCGCGAGCCACGATGGCATGGTGTCTACGATCGAAGGGCTATGCATCGCAAAAAATACGAGTAGGGCCGGGGCGACGCCAGAACTTACCAAATCAGCCAGGCTATCTAGATCCTTGCCGAGTGGGTTTAGGGTGCCCAGACGGCGCGCAATGCGTCCATCCCAACCATCAAAAAGGATTCCCAATAACAATGCGAGCATGCTCATGCCCCACCAGCCGTGAACGGCCGATATAATGGCCCACACTCCGAGCAAGAGGTTCAAAATAGAAAGTGTGTTCGGAACATGACGCAACACACGGTATGGACCCAATTTAGGCTTCATGCAATACTCACAAGACTGTTTTATGGTTTAGGCAAGCTCTGTGCCTGGAAAAAGGCTCTTGCCAGACGGGCATAAGAGGCGGTTCGAGAACCCGACCTAAAGCCCGTACGGCAGTACCCCCTTAAATCCCTCTTTGAGGGTTTTAGCATGCTTGACAAAGCTCTTTGCTTTTAGGTGTAGCACGTACCAAAACCGTAAAATCCATTCTATGCCCGTCCCCCTAGGGTCTGTGTTCATTAATCTGGGATAGATTTTGTGAGGGCTCTGCCCTCATACTCCCGCTGGGGACCCTGCTCGGGTTCCCCAGACCCCTCCGAGCCCTCAAAGAGGGGTTTAGCATGCTTGGCAAAGCCCTTGGCTTTTGGATATAGAGAATACGCCCAAATTATAAAACGCATGTTATGCCGCACGGCAGTGCCTCCGAGAGGGGAGTCTGAGGGGAGACGCGGAGCGGCGTCTCCCCTCAGAAAAAGAAATTAATGAACACAGACCCTAAAGCCTACCGGAACCCTCTTGCCAAAGGCTTCACAGAATACCCGAGCACGCGGAATTATGTATTGGCACCGGCTTCGGAAGGGGGATGATTTTCCAGTTCTCGAATGACCCGTAACCATTGTAGCTTGGTGCCGTCCATGCTTTCGACCCGAAATCGAAAATTGTGTACCGATACCTCGTCACTGAGTTGCGGCGCGCGGCCTAGCATGTGTTGTACGTATCCGCCAATAGAATCGTTTTCGGTATTATCAAACGTGATACCTAAGTGGTTACCCAAGTCCTCGATATGGGTGCGCGCGCTCACCCGGTACAGATTCTCGCCAATGGGGGTTATTGATTCTTCTTCGTTGTCATACTCATCCCGTATTTCTCCAACGAGTTCCTCAAGAATGTCCTCCAGGGTAATGAGTCCCGCTACGCCGCCATACTCGTCCATAACAATGGCAATGTGGGTATGCAGGGCCTTGAGGGAGACGAGCATATCGTCGATTCGTTTCAGTTCGGGGACAAACGTAGCCTTTCGCAAGAATTCTGTGAGGGGAGGAGGTTTCTCCGGTGTGCGGATCAGACGCAGTAAATCTTTTGCATGGAGAATCCCCAGGACATGATCGATGCTCTCTTCGTACACCGGGAAACGAGAATGCCCGTGTTCGGAAACAAAGTCCGCGATATCCCGGATGGGGTAGTCTACTGGAATGCCCACTACATCTACCCGAGGTATCATAATCTCCTTAACGGTCGTTTCTCCAAACCGGTATAGTGTGGCCTGTATTTCTCGCACGATGAGTGATGTTGATGGAGGAAGCTCTCCACCATTTTGCCCTTTGTGATGACTGAGATGGCTCGGGTCGTTTACGTCTTTGTGACCTCTTAGGAGGGCCCGTATTCTTTTTAGCATAGCGCTATCCCTCCCAGTTCCTCGTTGATAGCACGCTCTCGGGCCTCCATAATGCGAGCTTCTTCATCGCTTTCATGATCGTATCCTAATAGGTGTAAGAGTCCATGTGCCATCATCATCTTCAGTTCCATGTCAAACGGGTGCCCATATTCGCTGCTTTGATCGTGAATTACGGGTATGCATATAGCAATGTCACCCAGCAGAACCCCATCTCCAAGATTGTCTTCGTAGGGGAAGCTTAGAACATCCGTCGGACGATCCACATTGCGAAATTGTTTATTTAGCTCTTGCATGCGCGTCTTGCCACACATGAGAATACTGAGCTCTTGGGAATAGCGGCACACTATGTTCATAGCAGCGCTTGTCCATGCGATGAGCTTAGCTTCGTGGATGAAGTGAGGTTTCGGGTATTCCCAGGCAATATCTATCGTATGTCGCAGTTCCGGGGGCGGCTGTGCATCGGCATCGCTTGGCATATCAGCAGTGTTTTCCATGTGTACTACCTGGGTCGAGGCTTTTCAGGCCGGGAAATTTCCATGAGGGTTTGTGTGACGGTCCTGCCCCCGTCGCCCTGGTCAGGACGAACACGGGTAAGGGCACGAGCATATGGGGGCTTGGGATCGGTGGACAACATAAATAGACTCTTGATATTAGGCACCATGAGACTCAAAAGATTGGATGATAGATGCAACGAGCGGATGACGGACCGAATCATGCCGATTAAAATGTACCATGGATACGTTCGGGATATGCTCCAATACTTTCTTTGCAAAAAGAAACCCAGACGGCGCACTTCTAGGAAGATCTATCTGGCTTGGGTCACCGGTAACAACCACGCGAGCCCCAAGACCCATGCGAGTAAGAAACATCTTCATCTGCGGAATCGTAGCATTCTGAGCCTCGTCGAGGATAATGCACGCATGTTGAATGGTACGGCCTCGCATGTAAGCCAGAGGCGCAATTTCAATGATATTTTTCTCTTGCCACTGCTGCAGGTTGGTTGGTGATATAAAATCCAAAATAGCGTCAAACATGGCCCGCATGTATGGGCTTATTTTCTCTTCGACATCCCCGGGTAAAAAACCGAGATTCTCGCCAGCCTCTACCACCGGTCGGGTGAGTATAATCTTTTTTACCCGCTTCTTTTCCAGTAACCATAGGGCCGTCGCAATGGCTAAATAGGTCTTGCCCGTGCCGGCCGCTCCGTACGCCAAGCACAGGTCGGTTTCCAGCATGGCATGCATGTAGCGTTTTTGGGCTTCGGTGCGGGCGACCACGTCTCGGGAGATGCGCGAGAAGTAGAGTGTATCGATATTCCCATCTACGGGATCTGGGGATTGTGTTTTCTGCAACAGATGAATCACGTGATCTTGGGACACGGATTCCCGTGTGTTGAGTTCGACATCACGTGATAACGTATTCAGAACATGGACTACGGTCCGAACCGGGGTAGATTCTCCCTCTATCTCCACGGTGCGATGCCCTACATGCAAAATTCGAACATGACAGAGCTCCTCCAGAAGGCGTAGATGGGAATCCTGGGGCCCAAAAAGAAGCATCTCATCGATATGAGACGGCACTTCCCATACATCACCAACCGCTGCATCTGGCATTGCGACGTACTCCGCCCCTCTCAATTATTAGGGTCTGTGTTCATTAATTTTTCCGACAGGGGAGGCGCCGCTCCGCGCTCCCCCCGTCGACTCCCCTCTTGGAGGCACTGTCGGCCTAGAGGGGCGGGCATAGAATGGATTTTACGGTTTTGATGCGTGCTATACCTAAAAACAGGGGCTTGCCTAAGCGATCTTTAAAACCCCTCTTTGAGGGTTTTAGGGGGTCTGGGGGCGGGGAATGCCGCACCCCAGCAGGGGTCTCTGGGGCAGAGACCCCAAGAAATTCACGACACGAGTTTAATGAACCCAGACCCTAGAGCATGACTTCTAAACGTTCTCGTGCAAAAAACACATCCAGGCTGTCCCCGCGCTCGCTACCAGATCTGGTAATATCTTGTGCTAGTTGATCCACCTCATCGTCCGTGCGGTCCGGGTCATGGTGAAATAGGGCCAGCCGTTTCACATTAGCTTCTTGACAGGCCTTTATAGCGTAGCTCATAGACGAGTGCCCCCATCCTGCCCGCGTTTTGTACTCTTCTGCGGTATACTGCGCATCGTATACACAAATGTCAGCATCACTCATGTGGGTAATCACTCGCTGGTTCATCTCTCGAGCGTAGTTTTCGGCATCGTTCATGGTCTGGGTTCCCAACGAGCGCAAGGGGTCTAAGCGTGGCAATCCTGCTTCTAGGATATTTTGATATGGCTCGGTATCGAAGCACGTAACAACGACGTGTCCATCTTTTTCAATACGGTATCCGAGCACGAGTACTGGATGGTTCAGGTACTGGGTCTTTATGGTAAAGTGTTCTACTTCAAGCGAGGTTTCCTGGACTTCTTGAAACGTGACAGTGGCCTGAATTTGGGACTGGTTTACGGGGAAATATTTTTGATTCTCCGGTCCGTAGATCGTGTTTTCGAGGCTGCCGGCGAAGTTAATCGGTCCGATTATATTTATTGAGACGTGGGGTAAGTATAGGGGGGCGAAAAAAGGCAGCCCATGCACGTGATCCCAGTGAGTATGGGTCAACAGAATAGTGATGTGGGTTTCTTGTCCTGGTTTGATGTCATGGGCTACCAAGTGGTTCCCCAGTTCTCGTATCCCAGTTCCAGCATCTACGATGAGGTAATGACCTTCGCGGTCCCGTATTTCCAGGCACGTGGTATTGCCGCCATAGCGGGATGTATGGGCACCGGGCACGGGAAGAGAGCCTCGCACTCCCCAAAAACGCAACTTCACACAACCTCCTTGCGGTTCCGAACGGTATTGTGTATATACGAACGCTGGAGGGCTTGGTCTACCTATCGACTGGTTCGCTACGGTTCTGTCTGGTTTTCTCGGTGTAACATGTCGCTTATTATGCGCCACCGGTCGTCCAAAATGCGCTTTCCGATATATTTCCCGTCTTGCGCGTATACGTGCAAGAGGATGGCCCCTCCCAATGGTCCGGGTACCGGGCGTCCCCGGCGATCAAAATAATGCTCTTGTGCCAGTCGTATTCCTGTTGCAGGGGGAGATCCCTTGTTTTTCTTGGGTGGCTTACGGGAAGGGTGGGGGACCGCCTCCCAGAAATACTCATGATGGTGAAACCCATCGATGTTGTGTACTGGGTTTTCCTCACGGTCAAAGTAACGAATTGATATGAGAGCGGAATGCACCGGATCATATTCTTTACGTATTTGAGCGACTCCATCGGTCTTTTTGTGCTGCATGTTGTAGTATTGTTGGCGAATGTTGCGCCCTTGCGCATCAAACTCGTATTCAATGCGATGCACGTTGGCAACGGATGTCGCCAACGCTTCGGACATCCAAAAGGATTCCGAGGAACGGTGTCCTCTATGGTCGTACCCGTAGCGAATAATCGGTACCCCGCGTTCTGGTATCGGTGACAATAATGTCCCATCGACGAAATGGGAAATTTCCATGATACGAGGGCGACTCTGATGATGTCCCAGGCGGACCTGGTAGTGAGTATGGCGACGGGCGATATCTTCCCGGGATTTCGCTACTCCGTTCAAAGTATGGCATATTCGTTATGCCATGAAAATGGACTTCCCGGAAATACCGCTCTTTTGAGGGGATGCATCCAGGGTACTCAGTATTATCCAGCCCCATGCCGCGGCCGTGCTTACCATGGTATTATCTCCTCCACAGATGAGACGGGCTTTCTGCCAAAGCCTCTATGTGAGGGCGCAAGCCCTCGCCCCCGCGGCGCTGCCATGCGGGCTTAAAATGTGTTTTATAGTTTGGGCATGGTCTATATCCAAAAGCAAAGAATTTTCTCACGCATGCGCGCGCCCCTCTTTGAGGGCTCGGAGGGGTCTGGGGAACCTGAGCAGGGTCCCTAGAAGGGGTTTGGGGGCAGAGAGAGCCCCCAAGAAATCAACAACCTTCTGTGCATGCGGGAGTACGTATGAGGCGGTGCCTTTACCGCCAGCGGTCGTGGAACCACATCCACTGGGCCGGATGCTGTTGAATATGCTGGGCAAAGCGGTCATGGACTTGTTGCATGAAATCTCGTGTGAACGTTCCAATATCGCAGGGCAACCGGTCTCGGTTATATTCTTCAAAGTTTATGCAAACCCGCCCTTTTGGAGTTACGGTACTGTGAGAGATTAGTACGGGGGTTTCGGGAATCGCTTTGCTAGTATGGCGGGTCCTGAGACGGCTTGGGTCGGATAGCCCATAAATGTGATGGGGACGCCTCGGTGTAGCGCGTACTGATCGCACACCATACATACCATATGGTTGCGCCGGAGGGCGCGTGAGATATGACGCAACTGGGAGAACTTATCGATGGTATGCGCGCCATACCGGGTTCTTATTCGATTTAGGTATCGGTCGGCGTATGGATGATCGAGAGGACGCACCACCAGATGCACCGGATACCCTAGCGCCGCACACATAGCACCGGCGCTTTCCCAGTCGCCAATATGTCCGCACAACGCGAGTATACCATGTCCTCGCGCCAGTAGTCCATCCATCACGGAGGCACTATTCCCCGGGTCTACATAGCGTAGCGCTTCTTGGCGGGAAAGCCGCACACGCTGCAACGTGCGGATGGTGACTCCCACAACATGCTCGGCACTCTGGCGGGCTATGACATGCGGCACAAGATGCGGAAACACCCGTCCAATACGGACCTGTGCTCGCCGCAACTCCTGCTTTATGAACGGCCGCAACGCGGTAACAATGATGCGAGATACCCACGGAATACTCCTATGGGGGATATACGCCATGAGGCGGACAATCGGCCAGAGTATGCCCCAAGAAACCGTGTAGCGTACCCACTTCCCCATGTGATGCCATAGGCTCAGTGATAAGACATAATACGGGCTTGTTTGCGCTGCTTTTTTAGAATTTTACGGCGCATGGCCTCTAGTTTTCGCTTTTTGCGCAGGGATGGTTTTTCATGAAACGCGCGACGCTTCAGCTCGCGCCCAATACCTTCCCGTTCGCATTTCTTGCGAAATTTCTTAATAGCAATTTCTATGCTTTCGCCTTCGGCTACTTGGTGCTGTGTCATAAGCGGTACTTTACGATGCCCTCCTGCCCCTTGCGGGGGCGCAATCCAAAACTACGAACCCTATTGATAACAAAACATCCGGCTATATGAGCGCTCTTTCTTCCAACCCGTCCCCACGAGTGGCGAGCATTCCCAAAATGAGCACAGCATGCTCGCATTATGCGACTTCGCCCCTTACACGGTCCCACGAGTGGCGAGCATTCCCAAAATGAGCACAGCATGCTCGCATTATGCGACTTCGCCCCTTACACGGCCCGATAGCTTCCATCCGCCCGTACGGGGAACGGATCGTCTTCGCCGGCATTGCCATCCGGAGCATCTCCCTGGGTTTGGAGGCTCCGGATCGTATCTACCCGGCTTACGGGCGGCCCTTTTTCAATAGCTCGTAGCATATTGTCATGCTCCTTTATGCGCGCGGAAAATTGGACCCTCCACGGTTCCATAAGGGGTGTTACGGACCCATCCGGAAATCCCATGTTTCAGCGCGGTACGACGTATGAAGCTGCGGAAGCCAACCCCCTGTACCCTTCCGACCACCTCGTAATAGTAAAGACGATAATGACTGTTATCCACGGGTTCAGCTTTCCTTGAGGAGGATATCGGCAATGCGCTGGAACCCTCCAACCTCCGCGGCCAGAACATACCCTTCGCGGTCTACAAGAAGATAGGTCGGAAACGCGTACATACCAACGGACTTTATAAATGCCCAACCGGCAGCATCGGTCGCGTCTTTTGGAGTTGTCCCAAAGGGAACCCCAGACGGATTACGATTCAGAAAGTATCGCTCTAGAAGGTCCAGATGCTTCTCGCGGACTAGATCTTTCCTACGCATAATAACCCCACCAAAGAAACGATCGTGATACTCGGCCAACCACGAAGAATAGTGAGGGAATGAACGACGACACGGACCACACCATGGCGCGCTTATCTTTATAATCCCATATTCCCGACCGGGGCATACCCTAAAAGGCACGACTTCATCGGCGCTACGATCCCGAAGGACATGTACGTACTGCGAAAAGTCAAAACGATACGCCCTCGCCGGGTACCGTGCGAACTCTTTAGCATGCAACAACTCGATCTCCGGCGGATGCTCTATCGTTGATGATGCGTCCAAGGTCCATGTCTGTGGAAACGTATTCTCGTTATCCAGAAGAAGATCATAAGAGCCTTGCGTAGACGAGCGAGAGGGCACCGTACGTAACGAGTGCGCCGCACCCATGTCCGAGGGTTCCTCTTCCCGCTGCGAAACGGGAATATCCAAGCCTTGCAACATACGCTCGTGCCCACTCGTCGCCGCATAAACACGGAAAAGACCCAAAATAGACGACCGAGTTGCCTGGGTGTCATGCGTAGAGCGACGACGGTAGGACAGGTAGGCTTGAAACATCGGGTCCGCCATGTCCGAGGTAGACCCTCTGGATTGTAACATCCCAGACAGCAAAAAGGGATAGTAGTGCATGATCGTTACCG